GTGAGATCTCGGCAAAAAGTCTCACGATTTATTTCCAGAACATGATGCATGATGGGATACACTAAGCCTTGAATAGCGCTCCGGAGCGGTATTCGAGATAGTGTGGGTTTAGTATGCATTAAGGGCACTGCGCTTTGCCCAGCAGCTTCACTCATTACTAACCAGATTGACTTTATTTCTGTCAGACGTCTAGAGAAGCTCTTACTGAGAAATACAGATATAACAACCAATTACATAATTTCACAGACTTTTTGACTGAAATTCAAATAGATGAAGAAACTGCAAATTCTCCTTGGATGATTCAGAAGATTTTTGGTGAACTGCATGGAAACAGTGTTACTTTTGACAGGCATTTTTGATTTAGTCTTAGTCTTTATCTTGAGACGAAAATGCTTAATAATCTTAGTCACATTTTAGTAATTTGAGTCTTTCATAGTTTTAGTCGACGAAAAGTCATTGCATTTTTGTCAACTTTTAGTCATTGAATTTGGAAAAACTTGAATAAATGATGACAATTTTCATTTTTTATATATTATAAATTAAATACATATAATTTATAATTTTAGAAAAAGAAGCAGAATACAAATTAAACTCATTTTTCAGATACAGTAGGTTAACATTAATGACACGGATAGGTAACTTAATTAAGAATGCTGTCCCTTTAACCTTTTAGGCGCCAGGGATTTTTGGAAAAATGCTGGATTTTGACATCAAGATTTCAAAAGCTTGTGGCTTGAAAGGGCTTAAACATAGAGATCTACTGTAAATTAGAAAAATGTTGGGCATGACCGAAAGTTTATGTGGGGTGTAAATATACTCGTCTAATTTGCATATTATGACGTCATTAGGGGCGTCCATCTTGAATTTCATAATATTCAGGAAATAGTAGATATAAAATTGATGTTTGAACTTATTTGCATGTTTTTTTTTTGTCTTTTTATCCTCAATTGAGAGTATGGTACCTCTCATTGCATAGCACAGCGCACAGACCTACCACTGACCCACACTGACTGCACCGTGTACCGCGGCCACTCCCACCTCTTTGGGGCACTGGATCCAGAGCCGCTCTGACTGGATCCAAAGAGCTAGTGCTACTTCCAGCCCTATTTCTCCTACCCCTGCTGCCTCTACCTCTAGCAACAGCTCTCCTATGGACACAACGACCACGTCCACCCCTGCCACCCCAATCCCAGTTGGACAAAGGGTCGAAATGATCACTTGTTTGTGCTTCGTGAACACTCTCGCCTTGCACGGCGGCACCAGCTTAGAGGGTTAAGACGGAAGGCATGCATGTAATACTGACACATGTTCAGTTTTCACCCACCTGTTTACGTTCATCAATAACCAACTGTATTTACGTGAGATACTCTACACGATAGATATTTGGACTGCTGTGTATGTATTTGAGCACTGAGAACTGATCGCGCGCTGTATATGAGAACTGAAGAAGTGGAGCGTGCGCAAGAGAGATCATTTCTATCAGCGCGATTCCGCCTATCCCTCCTTCACTAACTTTAAGTTAATCGACAACGAATTGTGACTACCGGGAAAAACGGGACATCTGGTCAACTTATCCCTACCCCTTCGGGTGCTGAGGCCATTGTTTCAGATCGCTAGTTCGCATTTTGGTAGCCTATCCGTCCACTGCGGCTGCCATACTGAGATTAGATATACAAACGCCCCTTATCCGATTGCAATCCAATGACAGGGACACACATTTTGAAGGACAAGACAGTACATAAATTTCGTCATAGTTTTTATCATCTGATATTAGTTTTAGCTGGTCAACATCTCGTCTTAGTCACAGAAAAATGTTCGTTAACGAATATATTTCGTCGTCGTCTTCGTTGATGAAATTAACACTGCATGGAAACCAATGGAGGTCGATTTGACCTCAACACAATTAATGTAACCAAAATTTCTTAAAAGGGTCATATGACGTTGCTAAAAAGAACATTATTTTGTGTATTTGGTGTAATGCAATGTGTTTATGCGGTTTAAGGTTAAAAAAACACATTATTTTCCATTATTGTTTCTCCTCTATGCCCCGCCTTTCTGAAACACGTTGATTTTTACAAAGCTCATCGTTCTAAAAAAGCGAGGTGTGCTCTGATTGGCCAGCTATCCAGTGCATTGTGATTGGCCGAATGCCTCGAACGTGTGACGGAAATGTTACGCCCCTCACCATACTGTGATGCCGTCTCCCAGCAGGACGAGACAAAACCAATAAAACCCATTACAAATGAGGCATTTGTTGCATCCAGTGGGGACATAATTACTGATTATAATGACGTATACTGTCTTTTTAGACGTTGAGTCGCTTATCCCGCTGCGTAAACATAAAACCTCTATAAACCTCATATAAACATCTGCATTTGTGATCTTAGAAACAACAAGCCTACTCTACACTGCTCAAAACTCGCATTTGAATCATCAGTGGCAAATTATTTAAATATAAAAAACTTACTTACAGGCTGTGAGTCAGAAGCGCCAGACTGTCCTTGAAAAGTTGGAACTGCCCAGCTTTATAGAAACAGCCTTTGTGCCACAGACGCATTGTAGGCTACTGTCCACCAAGAGCTTGTAACACTCCAAAGAGAAAGGAGAAAAGTCACATACATAAATGAGTAGTTACTGACTTGTTTTTTAATGTACATTTCTACTATAGGTCCATTTGTTTAAGTCACATTACCCTGTTTAACGAGCAACAACATCTCTGAATAGACATCTGTTAAAATCCTCTTCACAGCAGACCAGTATTGACCTGCATCCTCTGTTCTCAGATCAGTGACGGTGATGGTGAAAACTCTGGCCGTCGTGTCATCAGTCAGAGAGAATCTCTGGTCTTTAGCTGGAGATCCTGATTTAACCATGATGTTTGCAAAGTTGCACTTGCCTTTACAAAAATACTTTGAATTTGATCCATATCCAGATTCATATGGGCATCTGATGTCAAGTCTGTGTCCTCTGTGTCCTGTGACTGTAACTGGAGCACCTGCAACAACTGAAAACAGAAATATCATTATACAGAGCTGTTATGTGTGAGCAAGAAATATTATCAGACCAGACTAATATAATAATATAAAATCATCATGTAATAACAATACAATCAAGAGAACTTGTCAAATTCTGTACAAAATCCCCCAGAGTCTCAAACTCACCTGTACAGATGCTGGAAAAGACGAGCAGAACGACACACATGCTGGACATTTTACATGCGTTTTGCTTAAATATAAGACAAAAATTTTGCGTCTGCAAGCGTTATGGTCTTTCTCTTCCATACTGAGTGAAAAAGCATGCTGCGTCTGCAACTATATTTAACATTTCCTTCCCCTTTCCGTATCTCTGACCACATCAGCTCTTCAGGACATCTTCAGAGAGCACATTATTGACTCTGACAAACAGCACACGCTCTGTTTATATTACTAATCTAAACAGATTCATAACATATGAGTGTTTGTTAGATGGAAATCAAGATTTTAAGTCATAATTTTTTATATAGTTTAGGTTTTGTAACTGGACTAAACCACACCAGCCCAGGACCTACACATCCAGCATGTTCACCTCAAAGATCGTCTGAGACCAGCCTCCCCCGCTCTTGTGTTTCTCTCCTCCCAGTTACTCGGAGGAAGAAATAATGAACTCACGGGGATGAGCGATTAGGCATGAGTGATTTAATGCCGGCAAAGCCACCGCGTGGATCACACTCCACGCAACTCTTTGATCCGCCAGTGTGTTTACACGTGAGGATCGGCGCAGAACGCTGTCACCAATGATTCAATAGCGCTGACAGCTTCGTATTTGAATGTGCCTCTCGCCTGGGCCGCGCCCACGCTTTGGCTGCGCTCGCTGAGACAGATCGCTCACACTACGAGAGTTCATGTCTCGCTCTGCTTTGCTCGCGGCATGTCTTCTTCAATGAATGTGGCCCTGCCCCTCCCCTTGTCCACTACAAGCGGATCTGAGAGAATGCGCGCAGCACTTTTGATCTGCCTGAGTGTTTACACATAAAAATCATCAGTACTCCTCTTCTAATGAGTGGTTTGATCTTTTTAGGCGGATTAAAAGAAGATGCTGTCACTAATGATTATTATCACTGACAGCTTCATATTGGATGCGTCTGGCCCACACCCATGCTGAGGCAGCGAGCACGGGGGCTGACTGCTCTCGTTATGAGAGCATTAGGTCTAGCGAAGCATTTTTTGAAAGCATTTTGAAAGGAGAGCAAAATTCCTCTTCTGAGTGTGGGGTCCCCATACGGCGACTAGCCACTTGAATTAATTAATCCAACCCCTTTTCACATGGGCTGAGGCCTGGCAGGCCATCCCTGGAGTGCCAGTCTGGGTTCTGGGGATAATAAAATGAGGTTATTCACTGCAATTCCCCCAGCCAACGGCTATCGTTCCTTGGAACAGTTCTTGACTCAGCCCAAATGAGAGCGTTAGTCGTGCCAGAATGTGCACTTGCTATTCAGCAGCTCGTGGCCTCATTCAAGGTTGGAGCCACTCACTTAAATATTACAACTAAAGCAAACACTGATCTCCATGATGGTGACATCATTTCAACCAATAAAACATCAACATCTGATCCTCTGTAATTCTCAATAACAGCAGGTGTTCATCACTAATGCACACTCATCATTTACTTAGTCACTTAATTATCTCATTAACTTTAACTCTTTGAGGACTTGGGATTTGACTCGAGACTCGTTTGTGATTTGAAAGGAATGACTTGGTTCCTCCTCTGGTGAAATCAGCTGCTGAGTTCATGGGTGGAATAAACATATGGCAGGACTTTTACTTTCTGACCCCTGGATTGTCCACCTCTGATGGTGAATAAAAAAAGTGTAACTGTAATACCTTCTGCACACTGGCACAGGTCTCCTTTACACAGTCTGAATATTGCACCATCTTTCCTTTCAGGGTGGTAGAACTTTGTACAGCGTGCAACTGAAAAACACACATGCATTTAATCTAAAGCTTGGAAGTGCCAAGACGTTTAATATTATAACTCCGATTGGATTCGTCTGAAAGAAGAAAGGCATAAACACCTAGGAAGGCTTGAGGGTGAGTAAATCATGGGGTATTTTCATTTTTTATGTGAACTATCCCTTTAAACCAGAGCATTTGACCAACCAACGTTTTGCACTTTAAAAACAATGTGCTCCCGTGTATAGCAGAGCAACTTGTATTGACATATTCCTTGCCCTCTCCTTACATCAGTGTATTATTTTCATTTGTAAATCACTTTGGCTAAATTATATATTTTAAGTGTACATGTGAGAAGATGGGTGGGTGTGTGTGCAGCTCACCTGGTGAGTAATATTCATATATTGTGACTGCAGCAGGTTGTAGCAGACCCACATTAAGCATCTGATGCATTCTGAAGGAAATTACTTCTTTCTCTTTATGAGAAACCTAATAATACAGAAACCAATGCAAAATTATGATTACATGTCATATTTTACACTGCCAACATTTGCACAAGCCACAAATAATTATAATAAATCTAATAAATTTATCTATAGTTGCATTTACATTGAAAAGACAGTTTTGTGTGCTGCATATCTGACAGAAAACAAAAAAGTTTGTTACAGCCACAGAATATATATTACATATATACTTTATATTATGCTTATAATATTATGTGAAATATGACCAGAGGTGGACCATCCAAGGATCAGAAAATACCCCCGGATGATTCAAAGAACAACTTTGAATCATTAAAAGGTCAAGAGCCCAACTAAAGCAAACACTGATCTCTATGATGGTGGCATCATTTTAACCAATAAAACATCAACATCTGATCCTCTGTAATTCTCAATAACAGCAGATGTTCATCACTAATGCACACTCATCATTTCATTAGTCACTTAATTATCTCATTAACTTTAACTCTTTGAGGACTTGGGATATGACTCGAGACTGGTTTGTGATTTGAAAGGAATAACTTGGTTCCTCCTCTGGTGAAATCAGCTGCTGAGTTCATGGGTGGAATAAACATATGGCAGGACTTTTACTTTCTGACCCCTGGATTGTCCACCTCTGGTCACACATCAGCCGAGGAACAATATTTTTCTTCAATGCAATTAAACACATCAGCAATTCCTCTCCACACTGACCTCTGATGGACAACAAATGAAAGCAAACCAAAGCAACATGTTACACTTTCAGACATCTCTGTTGCATCACTGAGGCTCCAGGAAACAATAAGATAATGGCAAAGTGTTAGAGAGTCTTATTAAGACTTCATTATGACTGGTAATAATGGTGATTTAAGGGCATTTAAATTCTCAATTAAAAGCTCATTTGTCAAATCAACCTTCTTCTTTCCATAACAGACTATGATAGACTCATTGACCTGGATTTTGACATCTCTATTCATGTAGGTGTTTAACTGTGTTCTAGAAAAATGCATTTGCGGTTAAAAAGTATATATATATATTATTTTTTTTGTTCATTTTTTTTTTTTTTTAAGAAAGTGACTGATCATCTTACTAGATAATCCTCGGCTGGGATCGTGTAGCCCTTTGAAGCTGCACTGAAACTGCAATTTGGTCCTTCAACCCGTTGGTTCCCATTGAAGTCCATTATATGGAGAAAAAATCCTGGAATGTTTTCCTCAAAAACCTTAATTTCTTTGCAACTGAAGACAGAAAAACATGAACATCTCGGATGACATGGGGGTGAGTAAATTATCAGGAGATTTTTATCTACTGGAACTACTGTACCATTTTAAAACTATATGCAACATTTATATGCAACAAAAGTCTAAAGCAAGAGGCTTCAGTGATCAGTCCATCGATTGATGGATACAGTGATAGATGGACTCTTCTTGGAGAGAACCAGCGGTGAGACTCTGATAAATGTGACTGTGTCTACTGGCGTTCAGTTCTGTGTAGATCTGAACTGGATTCACACTGTTGTGCTCACTGGATTCTCACTGCAGCAGCAGCAGCATTCATGTAGTCGAGGTCTGTGTCGGCTGCTTCTGTGTTTGCAGCTCTGTGAAACTTGTTCACTGCAGAAACGTCATCACTCTGAGCTGTGTGTGAGTTTGAGGCGACAGCTGGGTTTCCTTTCGCATAAGCGTTCTGTAAATTGGAAAAAGGAAATGATTGATTCATCATCATCGAGTAAGAATGTGCACCATGACTTCTACTTGAGAAGAATACAAGTTCATGATGCAGTTAATTATAGAAATGTTGAGTGAAGATGATCCTGACTCACCTCTTTTCTTCTCTTTTCTGTCAGATGAAGCCCTTCAGCAGAGGAGGAGACCAACCCTGAGACGGATGAATATTACATTACGATAAAAACATCCACGTTAGCTTGAATCCAATGTCACTGTCTCAACTGATTTGTTTAGTCCAGAATCTGACTAAAAAAAATCTGAAGACAAAGAAAAATTAAAATCCAAATTTTAAAAACCCAACTGTTTTACTTATAATTGTTCTGAATGATTAGATCTGATTTCATGTCACTGAAAAGAAAATGGTGTAGAAACATTGAATTGAACAACATTTTTAAGTAGAAAGACTGAAATAGTATTTACTTGTAAACATACTCCAATAACCTTTGTTTTATTTACACTTTAAAAAAAATCATTATGTACAGTGAAGTTTTTTCTTTCATTAGAGACTATAAAGAGCAGAGGTATCTGATTTCATTGTTGAAACATCAGAAATGTAGATTTTAGTAATTCATTATTACCACAAGCCTGCTTTTTCTTTTGTACGGCCACAGTAAGCAATACAGCACAAATCAGGAGCAAAACCAAACCTCCTGCGGTGATGATGACAAATGAACCTGGAAATACCCATAGGAAAAATGTATTGCTCAGTGGTTGCTCTTCCTAAGCTCAGGAGACTTAGATGAGATTCTCATATATCTCTAATTTTAGTATCAACGGTGCCTCAGATGTTTCTCCTAAAAGTCCTTAGGAGAAAGAAGTAGACACAAAGTGGTGGAAGAAACATAGAATATCTATTCATTGTCTTGCTGCAATCTCTATCAAGACTCCATTATAGGAATATTCTATTGCTCAGAGTTTGCTCTTTCTAAACTCAGCATACTTAACTGTGGTTCTCATGTATTTCTCATTTTAGTATCAACGGTGCCTCAGATGTTTCTCCCAAAAGTCCTTAGGAGAAATAAAAGTAGATACAACTGAGTCATGAGAAATATCTGACAGAAAGGAGTACAAAATGA